GCGCAACCTCCATAGGCTTACATAGGCGCATCCTGCATAGGCTTACATAGGCGCATCCTCCATTGACTTACATAGGCGCATCCTCCATAGGCTTACATAGGCGCATCCTCCATAGACTTACATAGGCGCATCCTCCATAGGCTTACATAGGCGCATCCTCCATAGACTTACATAGGCGCATCCTCCATAGGCTTACATAGGCGCATCCTCCATAGGCTTACATAGGCGCATCCTCCATAGGCTTACATAGGCGCATCCTCCATAGGCTTACATAGGCGCATTCTCCATAGGCTTACATAGGCGCATCCTCCATAGGCTTACATAGGCGCATCCTCCATAGGCTACATAAAAAAATAAATAAAACTAAAATTTAAATCAACAACAAAAACTGATGCACAATTTTGAAATTATTTAAAAATAGATCTAGTCAACGATTATCCATACACATTGCTTTACAAACGAACCGTTTGATTCAGCGGCCCCATAGAAAAGCCCCATGGGGGGTGGGAACAAGATGGTCGGTGGATGAACGTATTCATTTTTGTATTGAAACTTTTGAGGCAAGGAATTAACCCTTAGAATGTTAACTCATTCTTGGACTCCTCTGCTTGACCTATTTATGGATTACAAATATTGATTGAGGTTATTACAGAGCACTGTTGTTTTATCTTGTATTAAGACTATTTTTGGGGTCACCTACTTAATAACTAAATGATTTTTGTAGCTTCCAAAAAAAAACATTTCCGTCACACAAAAAAAAGCACTGCCAATATGATTTCAAATGTTGAACGCAATTGGAAAAAAAAAGAGGATGTTTTACACGAGCCAAGAAGAAAAGAATGCTGTCTTGTAGAAAGGTCAATACATTGGAAGGATTGTCAAAACTGGCTATTTTTATCAATCGTATAATAAATGCATGGTTATGTTAAGAAGACATGAGTTGTTTGCACAAAAGAAACATCATATTATTTTTTTTATTTTTTTATTTTTTTTTCATATTAGGGGGCCAACGATTAATTTATTGATCATTTTGGCTCCTGGTTTGAATTCAGAGTTAGCCCTCTCTTAGATGAATTGCCTTTCAATGCTAACGAGTTCCATCCACCCGGGGGGGGGGGGGGTCGCTTGAATGGGATTCGGCTGGAATTGAACTTAAGACCACCGACATGAGGTCGGCCACCCAGCAATCGGAATTATTTATTTAATGTGTCATTTTTTTTTCCGTGGGAAACCGTACAAAAATAAAGTTATACATTTCCAAAGACACGGTTGATTGAAATGTTTATTTGGAACTTCAGTCATTAGAACTTTCTTCGGTTGATTGCGTCTTCGTGTTATAATTAACGGCATTTTTAACATTTAAGAAAGAAACGTTTCTTTTTTACAAATCTATGGAATTTAGTGTTAAAGTAAAGTGTTTAGAAATATTTTTTTCTTCTTAAACTAGTGCATAAAATGGAATTGGCATGATTTTCGAAATTCTATTTTACACAAAAGGTGTGTTTTTTTTGTTTTTTTTTATATTATCTTTCTGCCAACAAAAATTATTGCAAAAAAAAGGGTGCTGATCGGTGGAGGAGACTGTTGATTAGGCTGATAGTAGGTTATATATACAAAATGGCGGACTTAAAACTTAAAACAAACACAAAATGGCGGACTTAAAACTTAAAACAAACACAAAATGGCGGACTTAAAACTTAAAACAAACACAAAATGGTGGACTTAAAACTTAAAACAAACCCAAAATGGCGCACTTAAAACTTAAAACAAACACAAAATGGCGGACTTAAAACTTAAAACAAACACAAAATGGCGGACTTAAAACTTAAAACAAACACAAAATGGCGGACTTAAAACTTAAAACAAACACAAAATGGCGGACTTAAAACTTAAAACAAACACAAAATGG